CGACAGTGGGAAGGAAAAACTCCCTTTTAACAACAGGAAGAAATCTCCAGCAGAACCAGGCTCAGGGAGGGGCGGCCACCAGTTCGGTGACAGAAGGAAGACAGTATAGAAGACATGCTGTGGAAGAGAGCCAGAATTAATAACAATTGTGATTCAATGCAGAGAGGTCATAGTGTGTCAAAAAGGTGGCTGAAAAGAAAAAACTCAATGCATCATGGGAGTTCCCCGGCAGCCTATGCCTATTGCAGCATAACTAAGGGATAGGTTGTTTTTTTTTTTAATTGCTCTTTCTCTGGTCCTAGGACCAATTTGCCATGGAAGACCCTACCAGGGGGCAAAAAGAGTCCCTATAATATATGCCCTGGGATCCCTGTGACACATAAACCCCTCCACCAGAATAAGATAGCAATTCACGGAAGGCAAGATTTGATGCTTGTGGCTGGGCATTGTCTGCGGTATGCAGGGAAGGTGGACAGACCTGCGCAGCATCCGCAATCATGCCCCGCTGACTTATATTGTATTGGGTCCTGTGTTTGGTGTTGTTGGTGGTGATGTGTACGTCTGGTGGCGGAAGAGCTGCAGCCCTTGAGTGTACTGTTACAGCAACTGTGTGTGTGTTAAATAAAGTATGCGGCAAAGCATGTTCATGCCATCGGGTCTGCCGTGGCCCCCCTCCTGGGTCTTGGCACCACTGTGAATGACCACAGTGATTGCGGATGCCGTGCAGGTGCGTCATCCTTCCCTGTACGGCACCGAAGACCATGCCCGCCACAATACTATATAAATAAAAAATGTAATTAGAATTGAATGTCCATCCATCCATCCATCTTCTTCCGCTTTATCCGGGGCCAGGTCGCGGGGGCAGCAGCCTAAGCGGAGAAGCCCAGACCTCCCTCTCCCCAGCCACCTCCTCTAGCTTATCTGGGGGAATACCAAAGCGTTCCCAGGCCAGCCGAGAGATATAATCTCTCCAGCATGTTCTGGGTCTGCCCCGGGGCCTCCTCCCGGTGGGACATGCCCAGAACACCTCACCCACGAGGCGCCCAGGAGGCATCCTTGTCAGATGCCCGAACCACCTCAGCTGGCTCCTTTCGATAGAACTTTTACGCTCAGCTCTCTCGTCACCACAACGGAACGGAGCAGCGTCCGCATCGCTAATCGGTCTGTCAATCTCCGGCTCCCTTCTCCCATCACTCGCAAAGGCCCCAAGAAACTTGAACTCCTCCACTTGGAGCAGGAACTCATCCCCGACCTGGAGTGGGCACTCCACCCAGATTGAATGTTAAAAATAAATATGAGTCAGTGGCCACTGGTGGTAAGAGAAATGGTAAGCAAGTAATACGAAATGCCATGACCTCGAATGATGGATTTTCAAGGTAATCTTATATTGGTCATCTTTCTTTTTATACTAGTCTTAAAATACCATTAACAAATGTATTACCTGCAGCAAATTTGAGGAAACTGGAGACATTTTAACATCTTGATCGCTTCCATTTTAATTTCAGATATTTTAAAACTTGACCTGCAGGTCAGACACGGCACTTGTTTATTAAAATCCTCATTTTTCTTTTAGGCATGGAGCAAATTACTCTCAATATCTTTTAATTATGAGGAACACACTTCATTATGGAGAACCACATTCATGGATGATTTTCAAGACAAACTGAAAGAGGTAAGACTGCATTATGTTTATATTTTCATGGTAATGTGAAACTGGAAAATATAGTGAGGCTCTGTGCTTGTGTGCTAGGAACATCCTGTGGATCAAATTGGAATATACTGTAACAAGATGGGCGAGATGAGCAAGAAAAGTCCATTGTTGTGCAGCATAATGGAGAACTGTGCAATGGAGGCTGCTGCACATATTTGCCAGGTATGATTTCAATCAATGACAAATGGTTAGTAATGTCATGTAATATAACTGTAAGTCCCATGTAAGCAACAATATTTTCACACTCTTGGGGTGCAGAGGACAATTGCCTTGCAGGGGATATTATCCATGTTTCCTTTTTCTTATTCCGTCCATCCCTCTATTTTCTTCTGCTTATCCGGGGCCGGGTTGGGGGGCAGCAGCCCAGCAGCCCAGCAGCCCAGCAGCCCAGCATCCCTCTTCCTGGCCAACTCCTCCATCTTGTCTGGCTCCTACCTCAACTGGCACCTTTCGATGTGGAGGAGTAGCAACTCTACTCTGAGCCCTTCTCAGATGGCAAAACTCCTCACCCTGTCTCTAAGGGAGAGGCTAGCCACCCTTTGAAGAAAGCCCATGTCCACCGCTTGTATCCACAACCTTGTTCTTTCAGTCATTACCCAATGGTTGTGATTGTAGGTGCGGGTACGGACGTAGATCGACTGGTAAACAAGAGCTTTTACACTCAGCTCTCTTTTCATCACGACGGACCAGTACAGCATCCGCATCACTGTAGCAGCAGTACAAAGCCGTCTGTTGACCTCCCACTCCCCTGACTTGTGAACAAGACCCTTAAATACTTAAACTCCTCCACCTGGGGTTGCATCTCGTCTCTGACCTGGAGTGGGCACCACCCTTTTCTGACTGAAGCCTCAGACTTAGTGATGTTAGTTCTCATTCCTGCTGCTTCACACTCCCCCTGTATATATTAATCGCCATCTGTGGGTGGATAGCAAAGAAAGAAGATTGTACAGAGAAATGCCCTTTCTCTTCTGACACATGACAATAAACACACTCTTGAACCACTCTGGTGTGAGCTGGAGGCCACCACCTGAAGAAACCAACAGAACCACATTATCTGCAAAAAGCAGAGATGAGAATCTGAGGCTTCATGCACCTCATGTCTAGAAGACCTCACCTAGAAGGCATCCAGGAGGCAGATGCCCAAAACACCTTAATTGGCTCCTGTCAGAGTGGAGGAGCTAATCTAATCTTAGCCCCTCTCAAATGGCCAAAATCCTACACCTTTCGCTAAGGGAGAGCACAGTCAACCGCAGAGGAACCTGATTTTTGACAGTGTTGCTTTCACACTAAGCTCGCTCTTCTCCAAACCAGACCAGTGCAGCACCCATACCACTGCTGCTGCTTCATCCAGCTGTCAGTCTCCTATATGCCCACCCCTGCTCGCAGACTCACCATTGCTCTCCAGATGGAAAACACTTATCGACTGCTTGTGATTAAACTTGTGATTGATAAGGGTCATAACTGTTGATTTGGTTTCAGTTGAATTTAATTTCACGACATTAAGTGAAATAAATATTTGATTTTAAAGCAAACCATGACTTGATGGAGAAACCCTTGGCACATTGATAAGACATTTCTTAAAGGTGGTTATCAAGATTCCACTTATCTGAGGAAGGGTATCAGCCAACTCCACTTAAAAGAAACTCTAACTCTTCCTTAACTTAATATGGCTCTTCTTAAGCCACTCTTTTGTTTTCCTGGTGGAATGTTTTGGAACACTGGAAGACCTCACACTGGAAGACCCAGTCACAACCCAACTTCCATGGTTTTGGTTAAGGAAAGGAGGTTCTCGTCTAAGGTTTTACAGTACATGGCTCTGTCCATTGGCCCCTCAGTGTGGTGAAGTCATCCTTTATATTCAGCAAAAAAATGTTTCCACCTCCATCCTGGACAGTGGAGATAATGTTGTTTGGGTCATACTCAGCATTTCTGTTCATCCAAATATTGAAGGTTGAGTTGAAAGTTCTGCAAAAATTTCCCTCCATTACAATGTAGTATGTGACCAGCTGTGTTTTTGATCACTCTGGTCCCAACTGCCGTCACATCTTTAAAATAGCTAAATTTGGAGCTGATCCACCACCTTTCTCATGATGATCCTGACCACATGAGACAAGCTCTTTTGAGCATGGAGCTCCAGACTGAGGGAAACCGATGGTCATTCTATATTTCTTCTCTTTTCAAATAATGACAGTAACAGTTGTTACCTTCTTGCCAAGCTTCTTGTTGATGGTAGCTCATTCCAGCCTTGTGCAGTTCTACAATTGTCTCCTTTAATGACTCTTTGGTCTTGTGCATGGCGGTGAAGAGGAAGAGAACTACCAACATACCTGACGTGGGTCTGTGGGTCTTTTGAAAGTTGTCTACATCTACAAGTATTTTCCTTTTTCTCTCTCTTTTTATCAACATGAAAGCTGTGAAGAGTAAAATCATTACACTTGTTTTCTTACAAATGGAAATTATAACCAACAGCAATAGTTTGCCCTTTTTCCACATTTTTTCCAACTGTTGCTTTTAAATTCATATTGCATTTTTAATTAATTAGTATTTATGACAAATGCAAAACACACTTAGTTTTAATTGCAATTACTTATTTCTGTACAGTAAAAATGATCATTACAGGCACACTGTAAGCAAGAGTTAATAAATTAATCTTTGAGATGTTTCTGCTTGTTATTTATTATGTTATTTTTATTTTTCCTTTTCTTTCCGCTCAGGATACATCAACTATGTCAAAACTCATGAAAATATATGATTTCACAAAATTTTTAAAACTAATGTCAGTTGTTGTGATGGAGTCATGGCCTAAAGATGAAAACGGACATGAGATACAAGACGAAGACTTGGTATTTGACTACCTCATGAGCTGGCCCATGGCCAAAACCATCCTCAAAATTGCAGGTAAATTGTGAAATAAAAAAAAGAACATAACATGAAATACACCTTGAATACTCTTTAGTAATGTCTAGGGTAGGGATGGGTACCGGTATCCGGTTCTGATATAAACGGTAGTAACCAGACCGAAAAGCAGTGCACATTTCGGTGCTTTATTTCGGTGCTTTTTTTTCCTGAGCTGTGATACACTTTAGATTCTAGCCAATCATTTTACGTTCCCGAAGATAGTAGGCGGATCCAGGTACGTACGTTCTTTTAGAGCAGAGCTACAGATTAAAAATGCCCAAGGCGAAGCGGTCAAAAGTCTGGCTGTACTTCACAGCAAAAGATGCAAACTCAGCAGCCTGCAACAAGTGCTTTAAGGTGATACTGTGATACTGTCAAAGGAGGTAACACCTCAAATCCGATGAAACACCTGGCGACGCATAGCGTTTTTTTTAAAAGCCGAAAAATGCGCCGTATTTGATAGTTTGCTGCGAGACCTCGCACCGAGCGGGTGGGTTGCCTGTTATCGGACCCGGAGTTAGCAGCATCCCCAAAAAACCCGAAGAGGAGAGTCCTGGCCCCTAGCCCTGCCAGTGTAGCAGAAATGATGATGATGGCAGCAGCAGCCGTTCTTCTCTGCGTGAGTAGCTTAATGTTGTTCGTGTGTAATTTATGTTGAGTAGGCTAACCACGTTATTACATTAATGCATGTAAGGTGAACTAGCAAACACCATTGTAGTTACATGCAGCTGTCATCTTGTTTGATGGCAGATACTCCCTTCACCCTGGCCAAAAAGGCTAAAATGACCAAAGAAAACGTGGAAAACAGCTAAACATGAGAGGTTTTTGGACAACGTTTGTGTTTTTTCCATTGTTTAAGCACTGCTTCCAGCCAAGAGTGATACCATATATGCCCCATAGCTGCAGAAAAGGCTAACATTGTTATCTTTTTACAAAAAACAGCTGAACATGAAAGGTTTTTGGACCAATTTTGTGTTCTCCATTCTTTAAGCACCGGTTTGAGCACCGTTTGAGCACCGGCACCGTTTCAAAAGTACCGGTTTGGCACCGGTATCGGATAAAACCTAAACGATACCCATCCCTAGTCTAGGGTATGCATAAGCTTTCAATTTTGTATATTACCATACTCATTTTGAAGGAACATATTCATTGGAAACATGAATGCACTTTTGAGACAAATTCAGAATGTGAGGACTGTTTGCAACTTAACTGGAGGGTGCCTGTTTAAAAATTGAATCAAACGGAGATGAACAGGCTTTTGTAGTTGTTGTTGTTGGTTTTTTTTAAAATTTAAAATAAAAATCTGTAAGATGCTTTATGTTTTTTTAAATCTTTTCAGGGGCTGGAGAAGGATTGACTGACAAACTGTCAGATGAAGCACTTTCCAAGATAGATTTGGGAAGGTCAGCCTTTAAATCTGTTTCAAAGAAGTTCCTCAGTGGAGAGATACAAATTAAAGGCTTACTTCAAATTCTCCAGAGAAAACAAGAATTTCTTGATTTCCTAAAGATAGGTGAATACAACTATCTGTTTCTTTGCTTTCTCAATTTAAAAAAAGAATCTTAAAACTATACATTTTGTATGTGCACCATTTTTTCTACTTTTTTCATTTATAATTTCAACTTCCCAAAAAAATCCCAAACTACAAATTCAATTCCAAGCACGTTAGCTTGTTGTGTGAAATGTAAGAACAGAATGCAATGACTTGATTAAAAGCCAACAAGACAGTGAAAAAAGACCACAAGTAAACACACTGTCCGTGCTTATTTTCTCTTTTATTGTAGTGACACTCTACTGACAGTTTCTTTCTCGACTTTTGGTTCAGCACCCACGTGTGCTGCTTTCTAGATGCACTCCGACACTTCTCTCCCACACTCCACTCTGGCTTCACTAAATCTGTTGCAGCCCTGTTGCAACACTGTTAAAATGTGTTTTGTTTGTTGATGATATCTTTCTGTATTGCTCAGGTAAAAACCTGGAACAGCTTCTGACTACTGTGGAAAAAGAGTTAAATATACTGAAAAATTGATGTGACATAAATAAGTTATCATTAAATATAAAAAAAAAAACACAATTTATTATTTTTGGCACCAGACAAATGGAAAAATGTGGCTAAAATCAGGACTAATGGATTTGAAATTGAAATAGTGTATGAAAATAAATTCCTTGGAGTGATAATTGATGATACGTTTTTTGGAAGTCTCATATAAACCATGTCAAAACGAAAACGTCAAAAACCATTGCTATTCTCGACAAAACAAAGGATGTCCTGAACAAGAAATCATTATACACACTTTATTGTTTTCTGTGGCTTCCATATATGACTTACTGCCTAGAGATATGGGGCAATACATATAAACCCAATACTCTTCCTATCTTTAAGTTACAAAAAAGAACTATGAAAATTATACATCAATCGAACTATATAGAACCAACTAACATTTTGTTTATTAATTTGAATACCCTGAAATTTTAGGATCTAGTCGAATATAAAATGGCACTGATAATGTACAAAGCACAAAATAAAATGCTTTGCTGCAGCATTCAGAAGTTGTTTGAAGTCAGAGAGAGTCAATTCGATTTGATGGGAACAGATTTTTTTTTTTTCTGAAACTCTTGGTTGTTTTGCTTGGATGATTGTTGTGAAATTTAAATTAATGTATTTACTTATGTCATGATCTGCGAGTCAAATTGTGTGGGGAAGAGAGGAGTGTGGACCCAAGAGCAGGCACTGATGACTGACTTACTGAGTGAGAGCTTTATTTACAATGGGAGGTGACATACAAACAAAATCAGAGAATGCCCTTGACTTAAACTAACAAAAACCTAAAGTGGGAAAAACACAACCAGAGACAAAGAACTAGGAACAACAGCAGAACGAAAGCAGATGAAACACTTGGGATGACAAGCATTATGTTTTGCAACAATAATGTTGCAAGTATCTTGAGAGAGCTCATTGGTTTTACCCATCATAAGATGTTTCTTGTGTGACACCTTGGTAATGAGACACTATTTTGTAGACCATCAGTTAATATTAATTTGCCCTATGTGACAGGATTGCTCTCTAATTACTGATAAATTATAAGTTGGTGTCATGACTTTCCAAGCCTTTTTGCATTTCCCTTTCTTTATGAGTTCAATACTTTTTTCCTGTGTCATTTCTCATTATTACACATAAGCTAATTTATGGAAATCTCTTTTTTGATTTCTTTGCATGTGTAGATTGGATGAGTTGTTACCGACAGCTGGTGAAAATCTGTGTCAATAGCACCCTTAGTAAATATATTTACTCAGAAAATTGGTGACATTATCAATACTTATTTTACCCATTGCATGTCAGTCTTATTCTTTATGATCAACAAATTTGATTTGGCAAAGAAGTATAGAATTATATATGGGGCGATCGTGGCTCAAGAGTTGGGAGTTCGCCTTGTAATCGGAAGGTTGCCGGTTCGAGCCCCGACTTGAACAGTCTCGGTCGTTGTGTCCTTGGGCAAGACACTTCACCCTACCACCTACTGGTGGTGGTCAGAGGGCCCGGTGCTGCCAGTGTCCAGCAGCCTCGCCTCAGTCAGTGCGCCCCAGGGTGGCTGTGGCTACAATGTAGCTTGCCATCACCAGTGTGTGGATGACTGGATGTGGACTGGACTTTGGGGTCCTTAGGGACTAGTAAAGCGCTATACAAATGCAGGCCATTTATATATACTTGAAATTTTTATTTTTAATTCAGACTTCATAATTTTTTATACTTAGACATTTGTGGCATTTTTTTTATATTCCTCCAGATGGCCTGTGTGATGACGGTCGTTGTAAAGATGAGAGTAACATGAAAATACTACTGAGACAAAGAGAAGATGAAACACAAGCTGTGAATTATGAGAAACAACTGGTCAAAACTCTTCTGCAAATCTGCCAGGAGGTTCCAGAACACGTGAAAGGTAGGTAATGCTAAGATATACATATATAGTACATATATTTTTATTTATATATTTGTTTTGGTATTAGGTTAGACAGGATGGTAGTACAAATATTGTCACTGATCACTCATCTCAAAGCAAGAAAGACTTTGAACGTCCTGTTCGTTAGTGACTTTTCTGTGTGCAGTTTGCCTGTTCTCCCTATGTCTATTGTTAGGTACATTTTTGAGAAAGGGAAGACAAATATGCTCATACGGTTTTATTAAGCAGTTGAAGGTTCAAGTCAAAAAACTGCTGCCATGTCTCTTTGCTCCCTGGGGAAATCCAAACGAACAAAAAGCAGCACACCCATATAGTAAATGCTTTTTATTATGTGTGATAAACCAGACACTAAGGTGATTGGTCAAAAGAGTTTAGGGTGGCCTTAGGTCTGATGTCGGCTCAGGTTTCTTCTGCAACTTTCTGGCACTTCTTATATTTAGATGCCACTTCACCCATTATCATGGCAACCACCTCTTACCCTCCTCTGACCTGCATAAAGACAGAGCTAGGGTTCATTCCATTAGGGCAGATTTATGACCGAGGCCCCATTAATGTGAAGGTTCTCTAGCATATTGAGACTATCTCTCCACACCGTTACATATTCCATATGTACAAGGTACAACCCCCTTGGTCGTGGCGTGTGGATATTTCTTTAAGACACTCCGGCACACCTGGCTACGCCCCCCAGCTTACGTATAAAACAGCTGTGCAGACGTGACACCGGTGATCGTTGATCTCCACTTGTTGTGTGTGTGTGTGAAAGAGTTCTCACCTTGAGAGTACTGTGTGTGTGCGTCTGCTGGAGCGTGCTTCGGCATCCTCCGTGGGCGATGTATTTCTCCCTTCCAGGTCCCCTGGTAGCCCCGGTATTCCCCTGGTAGCCCCGGTATTCCCCTGGTGTCCCCGGTCCCCTGGTGTCCCCGGCCTGTTGGTCCGGCTGTCGGCTAGCTGCGGCCCGCTCTCCTTGGCCTCTCTTGCGGGGAGACTCGGCGCTCGGAGCGGGTGCTGTCGCCTGGGCGCCGGGTAGCTGAGGCTGTGTCCCACTCTTCCCTGACAGTGAGGTGTAAAAGAAAAATCGCTTACCTGCCCTGCGGGAATAAACAGTGGGTTTGGGATTCGGGCTAGGGCGGCTAACTGCTCGCACTTCCCCGTTGGTGTTTGGCCCCACCCCTTGCTAGCCACGCTGTATGGCGGGCCACGCCTCCCCGACTTGCCTTGTGTGTAGCATTCCTATGCCTTTGGAGGATGGGCACAAGCACTGTGTGCTGTGTCTAGGTCCTGAGCATGCTTTGCTGGCTATAGAAGCCCCTGCCTCGTGCATGAATTGTTTTATTCTGCCCGAACAGACTGGGGAAGCTCGTGCTAGGTTTTTTTCTGTCAAGCAACCCGCACCTCCGTCATCTCAGGCCTCTCAGGTGAAAGTGCGGAAGATAGCTGCTGCTGACGTAGAATCTGGTCCCGCAGCTCCATGGGCCGGGTCCCCTTCCTCGTTTGTCGACCTGCCGGGCCACTCCCATGCCTTTCCCACCTTCACCTATGGTCACAAACTGTGGGTAATGACCGAAAGAACAAGATCTCGGATACAAGCGGCAAAAATGGGCTTCTTCCAAAGGGTGGTTGGCCTCTCCCTTAGAGATAGGGTGAGAAGTTTAGTCATCTGGGAGGGGCTCAGAGTAGAGCCGCTGCTCCTCCACATCGAAAGAAGCCAGTTGAGGTGGTTCGGGCATCTGACAAGGATGTCTTCAGGGCACCTCCTAGGGGAGGTGTTCCAGGCATGTCCCACAGGGAGGAGGCCCCAGGGTATTCCACCGGACAAGCTGGAGGAGGTGGGTGGGAGAGGGAGATCTGGGCTTCTCTGCTTAGGTTGCTGTACCCGTAACCCGGCCCAAATAAGCGGAAGAAGATGGATGGATAACTATGAGATATTAGCCTTACAGATAAAAATAAATCCCAACACTATGTGGGTTTGGATTGGACTGAAGAAATCTACTTCTATTTAAACTCTAATATTGCTGTAATAACAAGGTAAAAAAGGTGTGAGTGGTTGTCTGTGTTTATGTGTTAGACTGGCGACCTGTCCAGGGTGTACCCTGCTTCTTGCCCTAAGACAGCTGGGACAGGCTCCACTCCTTGGGCCTTTTTCGAGACCTTGGCAAAGTGGTGACACATCCAAATAACTTGTTTTGAATTGATGATCTTGGAGCATTGGTCAGTCCACAGCTGTGCGCTGACAAAGAAATCCTTTATATGATGGCAAAAAGAAATTCTCGGTCACAGTCAGTCATGACTACTAATATAATGCCTTGCCAAGTTAATTAAGACATTGTAGAACCGTCCCCAACCTTTTTTTTTTGCGCCACGGACCAGTTTATGTCCAACAATATTTTCACGAACCAGCCTTTAAGGTGTTGTGGATAAATACAACAAAATAAAACCAGTACTGGTATTAAAAAAACACAGTACTGGGTTGGGGACCACTGTTGTAGAACCTTTAGCACCGTTTGTGCCCACTCTTTGTGCTTACTGTGATCATGAATTCAGATAATAATTGATATACTTTTGAAGTCAGAAGATTATTTTCTGCAGCATTACTTAGTGTTGCATTTTACTGTCACACATTTATGATCTTTATAGATTTCTATGAATTCTTGTTGTCAAGGGTGGCACATCTAGTTATTAGGTTTAAGGAACAATTACTCTTCACATACAGTGGGGCAAAAAAGTATTTAGTCAGCCACCGATTGTGCAAGTTCCCCCACTTAAAATGATGACAGAGGTCAGTAATTTGCACCAGAGGTA